GGAGGGGGGGGAGGGGAAATGGAAAGGCAAGCAGCATTCCTTGCAGAAGGAGCACCCATACTTCCAGATGCCTGATTTCCTGAATTTGGAAATGGCGGTTATGGTAAAAGGATCATCAGAGATTTTGTTTGCACTAAGAATGATTTTCAGATAATAAAAGTATATCTGAGAATGATAATGTAATGTCAATTGCCAGTTGCAATCTCTACCCAAAAGAAATTTACAAATGGTAATGACCCTCCTGTATCATTGTCATTAGTTTTGATTATTTAATGAAATATGACAGTAAATTATGTAATCTGCCATGGTTGAGATTGTTCTTATTTGTACATCATAATCCTAATAGAGTGGGGTTTTCTCAACTGCTAAAATACTGTAATTTTTCTTCCTTCAAAATTTCCATAGTCCTTTTGCCGGACAATGGACCACTAAATTCTTACTTGGAAACAATAATGCAACTGTCCACACACAGTGGCCGCTGCAGGAACAAAATACTGGAGAGTGAGGTTTGTGGGAAGCTAAATCATTCATGTACATGTAAGCAACTGCTTGTAGATAACGTAACAGTGACAAGCTTAAGACTGCACTTGTTCATGAACAAGTCAATGAAGATATCACCTTGTTGTTGTTATACTTAATATTTAATTTTTTTCTTCCATGTGCATCTCTTTAACTTAATGATTGTGCTCCATTTTCCCAATCATTCTGTGCTCTGCAGCATTTTTGTAGCTGTTATTTTAACTGTGTTCATATCTTTTGTAAAATCATTGTAGGAAGTTGTCCAAGCACTTGCAAGATATATGTTCTCTTTCCACAAAGAGGCAAGCATTTGGAATATTCTTTTTTTTCTTCCTTTGTTTTTCTAATTTTTTTTGTTCTTAGCCTTGATTGTTCTCGAACAATCAGTGCTTTCTGGAGACACACTTGTAAACCAGATAATTCTACTTTTGCTACACTGGTATTCTCTTAATTTTGAAGAACCTCCATTCAAGTTTTATATTTGGGAACTTTACATTTCCCAAGCAGCCAACACTAGTTGTTTCAGACAGCATCCTCTTCAAAATTTGGTTAACCTTTTACCTGCACACCTTAACACCAATATGCTAGTTTCTTTACTGTTCCCTTTTTTATTTCCTATGGTACTTACGAGGATGATTTGCCTGCAAATCAAGCACTTCTTGCGTTTGCAATCATTTCCCTTTTTCAATGACCTCATTGTTTGATTTAGGGCTAATACCTGTTGCAATAAATGAGATGCTTATCACTCTAAGGGCTGAATGAATGAGCTTTTACTGTGCTTCATTTTGAATAAGGAATAGCATATCTGTGAGTGAAAAGTGGCTTGCATTGTACTCTAATTTGTCTCATGCAATGCAGATTCAAGGCCCAGCTCTACGTACCATTGCAAACCTGGCAGAGTCCGAAGACCTGGCGAAGAACTTAATAAAGTGTGGTGTAACTCCAAAAAGCATCTCCATAGTCATCAGTTACCATCAGGTACCAGCACTGGAATTTCCGTCATTTATCGATTCTCAAAATTCTCAAAAGATGAAAATTCTCAAAGATGACGAAAATTCTCAAAGATGATTTATCAGCAGCAGCCAAATTTGAGGAAAATGTACATGTATGTGTCTTGCATATAAATGGACAGTGTAGTGGAGCAGATGACCCATCATGCTTGTGTTATTGGTCAAAATGCGTTTGTTACCCTTGATGTCGTATAGACCACATGTATGTGCTCAGTTTGACATGTGAAAACTATCAAATTTGACTGTTTTTTTTTTTATTGCAGCGTTCTTCTGTCCAACATGCTAAAAAGATAGAAAAAACACTGCAGCGTACCTGTGAAAAGTAAGTCAAGATATAGATTGCAGCAGTCTTCATATGACTGTAGCACTTCGTATACCCTATTTAAGAAATCGTTATAGTAAGCCTCATCCCAAACTTACAGGAGTAGCAGTACTTCCAGTCGCTTAATGATACAGAAATGTGCGATATGACAAGGAGATGTGAGCCACTCGATTCTAGGATATTACGTCGTGGTAGAGAGGTAAATATCTTTTTGTAATTAACAGTGTTCCGTTTGAAAATCTCTTTATAGAGAGTGGAAGGAAGAGGAAGTAGCATTTGGAAAAGAGCGTTTTGAATTCTTCTCACGTCTGGACGAAGATCAGGCGCAAATTCTGAAGGACCAAGGCAACAAGAATTTCAAACTGGGCTTATTAGACGAAGCAGTGAAACTTTACACCGAGGCATTAAACTTAGTCCCCTACTGCTTGGAAGTGAACAATGCGAGAAAAGATGGATCACGTTGGTAAAGAAAACTTTAAATTTTTCCAACGCGGGGAGAAACTAAGAATCTTAATAGTTTTCGTTTTGGGATCTTGAGGTACATGTCCAAGTCTGCCTTGGACAGCAGTGGTCACAGCAGTACGTTGCGTTCCTAAACACGACTTTTAAACTCATCGTAATCCACTTGTCAACCCAAGTAGTATACATTTAGGCGGCAAACTTGACAAAATTTAGTTTATACATTAAGCTTGGAGCATATCCTACATGGTGCTGTTTACTTAAGCTAAACTCTTAAATCCCCTAATGACGGAGTCTAAAGCATGAATGATTGACAGTGAGGGAAACCTGATGTAATACTGTGTGTGTTGGGGAGGGGGAGCATGGAAGTACGGGGTCGTCAGGCCATCAGATCATGTAGTCTCATCGTCTGGGTGAGACAATTGAAGCAAAAGTCATAACCTGAGTTAAGAGAATCAAATAACTCCAATGATCACTTCCGCTTAGATGAACGAATTACGTGTAGATGTTTTTGGGACCACAAGATTACCTGTCCTCCTGAGTTGAAGCTACACATGCATTTTACTTGAATATTTAATTATTTATCGACTTTTGCAGGTGACTCAAAACAACTGAGCTAGAGAGCTACATGCAAACTCGGCAGTCATTGGTTATCATTTTTTTTTTGTTTTTTTTCATTCCAGGTGGGTTTTACCAGCCGTGTTGTACAGTAACCGTGCGCAGTGCCACCTGAATAACGCTGACTGGGAGAGTGCTTTGAAGGATTGTAACGAAGCAATGGCAAGATGCCTGGAAGGTTTGTTGATTATCGACTTAAGTACAGTTTTACACGCGTGCATGGCAAATAAGTTGGCTTGTTTGTTTCTTTTCTTGACATCTTGAATTTCTTTCTTTTCTTTTCTTTTTTTTTTTCCTGCTCGTTTTTCGTTCTTACTCTTGCTTGCTCTTTACTTTAGCCATAATCCTGCGAGTGCTTTAGGACTAAAAAGATTCCTCCCTTTGGTGAATAATTACCATTGTCAGTAAATCATCGTCGATTAAATGTATGAATTCAATTGACATTAAAATTCCTCAAAACTTTTCTTTTCAGACAACGAGGAGTCCGAAAAAATACTTCTAAAAACTATGTTCCGTCGCTCTAGAGCATGGATGGAGTTAGGCCAGCTCTTCAGAGCCCTAAATGATATTTCTCACTGTCTGAGAAACCAAACGCCCGGTGAAAGTAATTTCCAATCATATTACTGGGAGGTGAGGATGATAAATATGCATTTTAATATGTACGAAAGATACACTATAGCAATGTCTTGGCAGTTTAGCAAGGATTTTGTAGCGGTAGTCAACAGGACAGGTGTGACCCGCAAGACTGGTGGGACCTTTATAATTCAGCGGTGACATTGCATGGAGAATTAGCAGGACGGGTGTGGCCAGCCGGACTGCTGTGATCTTTAAGATTTAGGAGTGACATTGTAGGAGAATTAGCAGGACGGGTGTGGCCAGCAGGACTGCTGTGACCTTTATGATTTAGGGGTGCATTGTAGGAGAATTAGGCGTTGGTCACTGGTATGAGTCAAAGGGTTTCTACAACAAGGGAACACATCATGATTTGTGCGGTTTTTCTGTTATTTCTTCCTGTCTTTGTTCGGTGAAATGGCAACGCTTATGTTTATGCATATATTCCAGATCATGGTAAAGTACCGTACTGCATGTGGCATAGAACCTATCCGTCGCTGTGGCAACTGTGTCGGTGGAGAAGGAGACAAATTAAAAAGATGTGGAAACTGTGACGAGGTTTACTGCAGCCGTGAGTGCCAAGTGTTTGCTTGGGAACTGGGCCATAAGACCTATTGCAGAAAATAAGGAAACCGGGAAAAAAGACAAAGATTTCCGCTAAATACTGAAAACTATAATACTTTGAGAAAAACTATCGTGGTTAACCACCGAAAAATTGTTATGTTTGGGGGATCTACTTCCCTTTGGTGTCTAAACAATCCTCAAACTCAAAGAGGATAAACTTTTTTTTTAGGTTTAGTTTAGGATAAGGGATAAAACTTTAAAAGGTCAAACTTGGCCGAAGAATCTACTCTTTACTGTTACCGGCGAACTTTAAGAAGGTTTGGCCATATCACTTAAGTAAACAAGAGCGCGCGAGGTTAATTCCATAGGCATGCTATAAGGGTCAGTGATGTGGCGGTTGCTAGAGGATACTAGCTCTGGCAACTGAAAGTTAGCCAGTGTGAGTCTTATCCTGTTCCAGGTACTGTATATTGGTTGTAAACAGACGCAATAGGTCTCGGAAGGGAAGGACTTTGGTTTAAACTGTGGTCGGTTCGTTTAGCAATGTAGCATTTGGCATTTAGCATGTAGTATTCAGCATTTGCCATTTGGCATCTAGCATTTAGAATGTAGCAAATAGTATATAGCACTTAGCATTTTGCACTTAGCATTTGGCATTTTAGCACTTAGCATTTAGCATTTGGGCGTCGTATGTCCATATTTCCCTAATAATTTCAGTTGTTTGAGGGTTTTTTGTAAATACATTTAGCCCTCGATATGTAGCTAACAATCTAATCTGCTAGAACGTATGTGATTGCAGAAGACTGGGTCAGGTTGGTAGAAAAACGGGGAGGAGGGCTGGTTGGCTTTGAAGCAGACAGTATCCCCTTTCTAATACTTTTCTTTCCTCTCGTCACCTTTGGGGTTGAGATTCTATTGATATTGTTCGAAGAATCTACTGATTTGTTGCCCCCACGGATTAAAACGGTCAAGTACCCTCCTTCCCTCTTAGGAATGCATACAATAACTTTGCGTTACCACGTAAGTGAACTCTTACTGGAACAACTGTTTCTACGAGCCACTCGGTCCTGCGCTTTAAGTATGATTGAAGTATTTTCTTGTAGTGTAGATTTGAGTATCGTTGTTAACAGGCTAGGGGTAGTGTTCTATGATAAGATGGGATTGAACTGAAACACGTAAGTTCGTGTACCAAATCGGTTAACCCATTAGACCCTAAGAATAACCAGTATCTAATTTCTTCTAATGGTCGTACTGCTGAATCATGCATGAAGATCATGGAAACAAAGGAAATGATCGCCAACCCCAGAAGCGTTGATTAATAAACGAATTCTTCTTAAAAATACCAAAGAAGATGACCCTTGCTTGCCATAGAGTCTCTTTGGCTCAGCGGTAAAGCATCGAAGCGCGGGGTACGGGGGTCTGGGGTTCGATTTCTCGTGGGGGCTCGGACTTTTTTCCTTGTCCAGCGCTCGTGACTAGACGAAAACACAGCTTTCTACCAAAGAGAATGTGTTGAGAAAAATATGGAGAACATGGTGTTAGGGTGCAGAGGGTTTTAAAAAGCTTGTTTTAACGACTTATGCCTAAAATTGTCAGACTTAGTATAAAGAGTCAATAAATGGATTTCAAGAACAAAGGCAGTATTTGAAGACAACCTCGACCCCCTTTGTATTCGACTGACCAGGTACATTTCTTTGGTGGTGGTTTTGAAATACTCTATGCTAAGTAAGCCATAAGGTAACAAGATTTTCCTTCTAAAAAGAGAATACAAGGTCCAATATCAAGTAATACCAATCAGTGTAAAACAAATAAAAATTTAACATGTTTTTAAATTTTTAAAATTTTATTAAGTGAATTCACATTTCACTGTCGTGACTTGATATTCATGGATTATCCTGAAAGACAAAAAATGTCTAGGTAAAGGAATGACGGTTTTGAAATGTTCTAACATCATCAATACAGCCAGTAACTGTTGAAGAAATTATTGTGAGCAACGTTGTTGAGTAGCGAGATATCAATGACTTTTTTTGTTACAATATATAGTAAAAAACAGTATTGTAGACTAATTAGGCTTCTTGCGTAACAGAAAGTCGTCAAGCTCCCTGAGTTATTGAGATTCTCACTTTATTTTTTTGTGAAGTTAAACCTGACAACATTAGAGTTGTTTACAACTGAGTGTCTAAAACCCTAAACCAAAATAATCCCGGTGACCAATTAGAACAAATGCTGCATTATTATAAGCCAATGAGAACTCAAAATGAAAGTAAGCAAGCCACTTGCAATATAAGCGCGGGAAAATGCTGGTGAGCAAGTGGTCATTGTTTTCACTTTTGTATCTGATTGGTTGAGATGATGGCGCGGGGTTTCTGGACCAATCACAGAGCGAAGTTAATTAAAACCAAAGCAATCCGGGATTACTTTCAATGCTTTGAAACTTGCCCTAAGATCTATTGAAGTAAACATCTAAGTTATCGATACAGGGTTTACTCTTACTAGAGAAGCGAAAACATTTCCCCAGTCACTGGCTTGCACTTAAAGAGTTTTCAACTTACCATAGAGCGACCTTATTCCATCAATGTCGTCCTGATGCAGCTTAGGAGTACCTCGGCTGGCTGTCGGCCACATCACTGTGCCCTTCACGTCAGAATGTCTTAGTCCCAAGGCGTGACCAATCTCGTGCACAGCAACATAAATGAGGCTCTGTGATCCATTCCACCATGAACCATTCTCAGTGAAGTATTCATCGTCATCAAAATGCAGTCGGCCGTCTTGTGGATAAAAAGCGTGGGCCAGAACATTGCCCTTACCATCAAAGTCGGAATAACACTTCCTTTCGCCCGCGACACCAGAGTGCTTTCTTTTGCCAAAACTGCAAATGATTTATAATTTAGAATGACTTACCGGTCAGGTTTAGTAGCCGGCAACACAGAAGTAACCAAAACGCTTGTAACCAGTAACCGAAGCACCAACAGGCAAATTGTTGCTCATGGTAACAATCAGTCAAAACGTAGAAAGAAGAAAATGGCGAAACAAACCTTACTCAATCGAAACAGTGCTGAGTGGAGAAAAGAGAACGGAGGGGCATACGAGCCGTTACCAAAGAACAATGGCGAGACAGCTGGATGAAAGAATGAACAAGCGAGTGGCTGCCTGAACAAACTGACTGACTAAGGCCTAGTTTATACGTCGCGCTACAGTCGAATTCAATTCAGTTAATTCCATTAAATTCGTCGTTCCGTCGACGAAAAACCTGGCGTGGTTTTATACGTCGAAATCAATACGATCGAATTTAATTCTCTTACCAAATGCAGTGCCTCGGGTCGCTGCGGGCTCGCCAAAATAAATTGAAATGCATTAAGAAATGTATGCATTTCATTCGACGCGGCGCTAGTGCGACGTTAAAACTGAAGACGCGTTACCGATATTTTATCCGTCTTACCAAGACGGATAAAACGTCAAGGACGAATTTAATTTACCAGACGAATTTAATTCGTTTTAGACGTCGCACTATCGTCGAATTCAATTGCTTGTGGGACCTTGAATTAAATTCGACTGTAGCGCGACGTATAAACTAGGCCTAACCGATCGACTGACCGTCTGGCTGACCGACTGAATCACTTACTGACTGACTGGCTGACTGACTGGCTGACTGACTGGCTGACTGACTGGTTGACTGACTGGCTGACTGACTGGCTGACTAACTGGCTGACTGACTGATTGACCGATTGGAGGATCAGCCGATGGGCCGATCGACTGATTGTTTGTCTGTTTGTTTGTCTGATTGACTGATTGACTGATTGACTGACTGACCGACTGAATTGGCTGAATTTATTAACTAAGTGGCCGTCTGACTGAATGAAAGATCGATTGATCGATCGACTCGGTGAATCATGAATAGTGAAGGAAAGGAAGGAAAAGACAGTAAAGGAAAGGAAGGAAGAGAGATTGAATGAATAAACAATAAGATAAATGGATGGCTAAATAACTGCACGGATGAACTTAAATTAATGACAGAAAACCTGATTTTGAAGTCTGCATTCGAAACTGAAAGAGTTCTGGTAAACTTTAGCTTAGGTGCCGCGGCGCTCCACATTTGAAATGCCTGTGCCATGACTCTAGCCTGATCCACCTCTGACATATCTTCGCCGAAAGACAGGTAGTACTTGAGATCTGTTCTACGCCACTTTAATTCCCCCATGTACTGAATCGTTTAACACGCAAACGCCCGCCATTTTCATCAACATCAGGGACCCCACATCGTGGTTTCTTCATTTGGTATAAAGTTTCTTCGTCTAATTCGCCTGTCACAGGCAGACCAAAGAATTTCTGGAAGTTCTTTAGTGCGGTTTTTACGTCATGGTTGCCTGATCTCGTTGGCGAGAGGTAGTGATAGTCTGATAGATATTTCTGAAAGGCGGAGCGCATCAGGCAAACAACGTCCATCTTACTCTTCATGATTTCAAAGGCTTAGTCGGAATTTTCTATTCTCAATAGTTCTCTCATTGAATAACACTCATTTAGGGAATAAAACAGATCGAGAACTAAAAGGAATGTGAAGGTTTTGTTAGTTTGAGGGAGATCCTTAGGAGTGACCATAATGTCTTCGATACTTATTCTTTTTTTTTTTTTTGCGATGTTGGTTTTTCAAAGCATGCGCTTTTACTATATTGTCTGTAGTGAGTGATATCTCTGGTCGGCTATATGCGTTTGAAAAACTATATCAAGCCAATTCCTTCAACAATGATAAAGTAAATTTAATTTCATTAGCAGTCGCAGGAAGTTGAATTTCAATTTCCAAAAAAAGTGACCGACCCAAGTGAGAACACTGGTCGAAAGGAAAAGGACGAGGGAATAATTATAGAGCTGCTTTCACGGTGAATAGTTTTTAGCATTAGCAAATATCTTAAGACTACAGCACTTAGATTTGAAACGGGGTTGCATTGTGTTTTTGGAGTTCTTCTAGTCTTACCATTGCAAATTCACCATCAGGTACTTCTTCTTCACAAGAGACGCCATCAATGATGATATAAATCAGAAATAACACCATATGAAACCACATGATTACCAGTAAGTTCCACTCGGTTTGAGGAAAGCGATAGAACACAGCGCGTTATAACTTCGCATAATGGAAACGTTCTGATTTCAGCTTTCAGGTGCTGAAACTCAGCTTTTTTGCAAAATAAATAAGCGGTCTTATTGGTTATGAAAAAAATTGTTGTAATATTCTTCTTATTGATTAATTCGACAAGCAGAGGCAAACGAGGCGTATTTGTGATTAAATTTTCCCGGACAAAACTGGCACATGTTTATTCAGCATTGGACATGGATCTAAAGAAATAGGACTAAATAACTGAATAAAACTGGTGACTTATTAAAAAAGTATTGCAGAAAATAAATTGTTTGATTTTTTGTATTCATCTAAGATTCTTGGGTCCCGTTCGTGGATCTCCCGTTTAAGAAAACCGGAAGAAAGAAAAGATTATCAGATTGTGTAAATATATCTTATTAACCAAGCGCGAGGGCCGTACTNTTTTGATTGGTTGATTTTAGTTATTGGCCCTCTGACTGCCCAGAGTTAATAGAGGGAATTAACTCTGGACTGCCCGAGTCGTGTAATAATCTCATTTAGTATAATTTCAGAGCTGAACAAAGAGTTTCCAGCAATCTGATTGGTCGAGCGGTTCCTTATAGGACGCTATATAAACCACTCCGCGCGGTTTATATAAAATGTTAAACTAAAATGTTAATAAATGTTACTAAAATGTTATGATTTTAGAAATTTCTCTGTTATTCAGCTCTGAAGTTATACTAAAACAATTATTCGCCTCAGGCTCGGTGAATATTGTCGAATAATCCCCTCGACTTCGTCTCGGGGATTATTCGACGATATTCACCGAACCTGAGGCGAATAATTGTTAATTATTAAAATGGTCTTGGCTTGGAGGAGACTGAGTAGAAACGCTTATATCAATTGTTTCATTAACATTACATTTACACTTCTTTTCTCTCTTTTCCGCCTCGTTTTCTATCTGTTTTTCAAAAAGGAAAAATGTGAATCATTTCGGGTTTCTATTTCACAAAGAAATCCTTTACGGTATGTATAATTTGATTCAAGCGGTTGCCGGGCAAATTCATGCAATTTCGATCTAATTTGATCTATTGATTGATTGATTGATCCATGGTTCAGTTGTCGGGCTCTTTCCACAACCTCCGCTGGGCAAACTGATGATTAAAGAGCGTATACTCAAATGTCTTATATTACGAGACAATGGTCGTCAGAGTGGCACTGACCTAAATGAAATAACCTGGTTGCTTACAACAATTTGCGTCGGTAATAAGCTTTGTTAATTGAATAAAGGAGATAAGTGTTTAGAGAAACTGTGCAAGTGCTGTGTCGGTGATGCGGATGAGGCGTATCACAAGATCATTTGGTTTTAACAACTGTGTTGATGATGTAAATTGGTCAACGTAAAGAATTTCTAAAGCTGACGTCTCGAGGCGTTAGCGATGCATTTGTCATTTGCTCTGACGTTGGGCTAACGCTCGAAACGTCAGATTTGCTAACTGTGTTGTTGATATCTTGTTACTTAAAGTAGTGTTTGTGATTATAAATAGAATTGAGACTCATTACAATCACGTGCCTAATCACATGTATGTTCTTGTAATCTGTTGCTCCTTGCACACTCAAATTCCCCTCGAGAATAACGTACGAGACACAAAAACGTTTTGGCTTCATCATTGATATTACTGACATATGGAAATATCACAAAATTATCGAACGTGATTGGTTATCACCAGCCCGATTTAAGCACTAATAGGACAGTGTAATTATCATGCCTGCATAATTGGACAGTACGTGTCATATACGCGCGCTGTTGTCGCCGATTTCGCCGAGATGGCTATAATTTGTTTAAAATTTTGTCATACAGTTTTGAATAATTGGCAAAAAGACTGCATGTCCTTCGATTCTGTCTGTAATCGTACTCGTAGTTCAAAATTCCGTGCTCCTACTACGTGCTCGTCCGATTTTGATAATCACTCATTGATTATGGACCGAATATGACCTCCTGGTTGATCTTGTTGGCATTGTACAATTATATATAATTGAAAAATATGTTCAATCATCCATGTTTTTATCTCCGTACACTTTTAACTTAAGAAAAGGGAAAAAGATCTAAAGCTGCATTAAAAAAAAAAAAAACGAGTGACTCGGAAGAGTAAAATAAAATCATGAAAATAAAATGAATTAACAATTATATAGTAATAATACAAGAGATTAAAATTTCGCAGGAGATTAAGAGAATTAATAATATTATTTTGATTGTAACAAATTAAATTAGAAATTCATTAATAAATCTTTACAATTGATATTTAGTTTAAAAAGAATTTTCATTAAAATGTTGTCATCATTTCGTCAGTGTTTTTGAAACAGAAAGATTAACGAAAACCCCAGATAATCTGCTTTGTACTTACCATAATTTCTGCCCCACATTTGTTTTATTTGTAAAATCTGTTTCATATAGACAAACGATTACAAATATCCGCGAGAACGCTGAAACGCTAAGATACCATGCACGCCGCAGAAAGGCGGCTGCCAGTCAACGGTAAAATATGTATTTCCTGTGAGATGGTGATTGGTTTTACTGAAACAAAATCCCGACCACTTTTCTTTAAAACAAAAATTCGATGTAAAAATGCAAGTTCGTGACTAATCAGCCTTGTTTTACGTGTAAAAGACGTTCATTCAGTTTACAATATGTCACTCTTTGAGTTAAATTCAAACAAAAGATTTATGAAACGTAATCTAAACTGCACTGACAAGATCACGTACTACAAAATTGTAGATAAGCCTCAGGTACCAGTACATGAAGATATTACAAGAAACAAGCAAAAAATTTCTTTAAACATAGCGTATATGGCATGAAACTTCCAATTGCAAGAAGCTTTCCTCCCTTTTTCCCCGGGCAAAGAATCATTGCAAAAAGTTAGTATTTTGGCTTGGTCATCAAGCACTTTATATTTTGGAGTTCGTGCAACAAGTGGCAAAAATGAGTAAAAAAGAATCCTTCTTGCAAAAGTCAATAGAGAATGTCCTAAAAAATGGCATCATAAAAGTTTTGTTTAAAGAAAATAATAAGGTGGACGCAAGAAGTGAGAAACATGAATACACGTGGAATAAGAGTGTCGAATAGTGCTTTTGATGTTACAGAAGGACCCGCTTTTGTGTCATTGAAAGAAGTAGAACCCAAGTTGCATCTCTCACCAAATCTCACACAAAAGACTTATTTGAGTAGCTGTAACAGGAACTTATACAGACATTTTATTTTTATGTTAAGGTAAACATTAGCTGGAACTCTTGCTTGTTAAGCTGGTCGGAGAGAATTATTTGATACGGGCAATATACAACAAGAAATGTAGTTTGAAGTGCGGCTTTAAAAAATATTATTGAAAATTATTGTTGTAGTTAATTTCTATCTCCATTTTTATGACATTTTCAAGGTTCTCTCTTTGTAGTATGCTCTATAAAATAAGCTAGGCACTTTCGAAATGCTCACTGTTTTTAGTGATTTAGAAAATTTTCGCGCTTAGTTGCAAAGATGTTGTTTATCGTGCTTCTATTAGCTTTTTTTATTCAAGTTGGTGTTGCTGATGAAGATGATCAAACTATGGCCTTGGTAAGCTTCAAATCTAACGGAATTTTTAAGACGTAAGCAGGAGATCATGCTGGACCTAATCATGCACAGGGGGTATTTTCTCTCAGCTCTTCTTCCTCTTCTTGTTCATCTCTGACTCCTCGCCGGACAGTTTGGGTATCAAAGAACGTTTGAAACGGTCTATTATAAAATAAATTATTAGAGCTCCCTAAGAACCAAATTTTGGTATGAAGATTGTGTTTTTGTCAATTCCTCCGCTTAAGGCGTTTATTTTATTTCTTCAAAGAAGATGTATAAAACATCAAGTTGTTTGCTTAGTAAAAATCAGATTACGATCTGTGGTATTCCTTCACTGCTCATTTCCTCAGCTTCTCATTTATTCAGCAAATCGGGTGTTCAGTTATTTTGGTGCCCATTAAGTGTTTACTTCAAGTTTATCGTGACTCGTCAAATTAGCGCGCCATAATTATGATAAAAGGGGCGCTTAATGAATGGGCAACACTTACATAATTTTTTTCTAAATCGAGGCAAAGCGAAAAAAATGAAAGAAACGGAAACAAGGTAAAAAGCTCCTTAAAACATTCCATTTTCTTTCTCATTCAAGAATTACCTCAACCAATATGGGTACATATCACGTACGCGAAGTGGAAACCATGATGTACCCACCGCCATCAGAAGTTTTCAGGAGTACTTTGGCCTTCCAGCCAGTGGTAAACTCGATGACTCGACAGTCAGACTCATGAAGAAACCGCGCTGCGGAATGCCTGATCCAACTGAAGAATCTCGAAAGCGAAGATATGTCACCAGAAGCAAATGGCACAAGACTGAGTTAACGTATTACGTGCAACCTGGCCTGGACCTACCAGCTGTAAGTAACATCTGCTCTGGGCGAGGCTGGAATTTCCATGAGGTTATAGAAAGAAAGAAACAAAACCGCGCAACGAAAATTTTTGAGCGCGATTTAGTGTAGATGGTAATTCAAGATTTCGTTACATTTGCTTAAATTTCCTTTTTGATTGATCAAGAAAATTCTCGCTTTCCTAGATACCTAATTTTCTCCTTACAATATCACCCCTGAATCAAACTTAAAGGTAAATGATTGAAGCTAAAGGGAATGATGAACAAGTAAAGAAGCTCTTGATTGTTATACAAATTATCGTTGTCAGCACCATAGGAAATGTATTGAGAACAGTATGGAGAATATGAATACCGATGTTAGGATGTTGGGAGTTAACTAAACATCGTTTACGTTTCCCGCGATTTCTTCTCTTTGAATCCTCATCGGTCCCTTATATGCTCCTTGTCATGTTTCCTTTCTTCTGATTGGCTGTTGTGATTATTTTGGTCGGTTTGGCTTTTCGACATTCATCGGAAGGTAATAAGCTTAATGGGCCATATTTATAAGTTATAAGTTCATTAACCTGTCAAGAAACAGGCATCAGCCAAGGGGAACAACAACAACAACAACAACAAAAGTACAAAAACTAAAAAGACAAACAAAAAAAAAACAAACTGAAAATAACACACCAACTGATTAAAAGAGGAAAGAACAAACAGAAATGGGAAATACACATAGCTTGTACAGAATATTTTGGAAGGAAATACAACATAAATGTTATTTGAATTCACGACTTTTAAAACAGTGAATGTTCTTACAATGCTTTGTGATTACTCCATGACTAATAAAGTAACCTGAAGCCAACAGCCCTTAAATAATGTTTTAAAACATCCTGTCATATTTATGAATCAAAAAGAACTCAGACATCGCCATTCTTTATCGGCACAGAAACAACAAAAAGAAATATTTGCGAAGGCGTTGCAGTACTGGGCCGACGTTTCCAAGTTATCATTCAAAGCAGTTGAAAGTCCCAGTGAAGCTGACATCAAAATAAGGTAATCCAGAAACGAGTCTGACTGATCATAATGAATAAAGGCTGATAGTTTCGAAAGAAACTGTTTGGGGCTGCGTCGGTGGGAGTAACGAAATAATTTGGATATATCAACAAAGTTGAAATGGTAGATTAGCCACCGTAACGATTACAAAAGCTGACGTTTCGAGCGTTAGCCCTTCGTCGGAGCGAATAGAGGAATTGTGGGTTGTGTGTGCTTTTAAAGGTGGAAAATGGAGCAACGTGATTGGTGGAACATGGCAACGAGATCATACATTAGTTAGATACGAAGGCGACTTACAGTATCAGTATCTGATGGTTAACCTCCACGTACATAAGGAGAACTTTAGTATCCAACCAAAATAAGAGTGTGCAGGCGGTGTATGTTAAATTATATGTCTTCCAATCTGGAGAAAAATGGACTAATTTTCAGCTTTAAGATATATGTTTACCCAGTAATGAAGATATGCAACCACAGTGTAGGTGAAACTTACCGTTAACGCTTATAGGAAAAGAACTCATCAAAGGTGTTAACCATAACTGGAGCGTAGGTTTCAGTCTACGGATTACGAAATATGGAGATATTTTTCTCGAAATAGCTTTGGAAGGTACAGCCAAAATGGTACAGTTGGCGAGAATATGTGCCCTTATCCGTTCAGAGGCCCCGGAGGTGTGTTGGCGCATGCTTATTACCCTCGAGATGGTAGAGCCCATTTTGACGAGGATGAAAGCTACACACACGACACGGAATATGGCGTTAATCTTCTGTGGGTGGCGACGCACGAGTTTGGGCATTCCCTTGGCCTTGACCACACAAATGTCAACGGTGCGATAATGTATCCCTTCTACACAGGCTACGTACCAGATATGAAGCTTCATTCAGACGACATTGCCGGGATACGATATCTGTACGGTAAGAATTACAATTACAATTAGTCGAATTCTGAATTTTTCTTCTTTCCAATGGTAACGAGCTTGGATTATTCAACAATATTAACTGAGTCTAAAGCGCATAATTGTTAAAGAATAATAACAACAGTAACAAATATAATTACGAGAATGGTGAAATCGATGATGATGATGTCAATGACGATAAGTGTGATATTGATGATGATGTTTATGGTAATTACTTTCAAAATGTAATATGATATATATCATTAAATAAATCTCAATGATTTTTAAATGTAACGAATTCCCAGTTACCGTGTACAGATAGAGAATTTCAAGTATGTATGTCTACAACTCATACCTGACCTAATTACAATTGATTGGATAAAATTTCTATGAGGGTAATCATGCAAAAGTTGAAATGATCTCACAAGGTTATCATGAACCCCTATGGCTAAAACTATTACGCAAGGAATTAGTTCCAAATTAAACGAGTCTTTAAGTGAGGATTTGAAAATTCTCAATGACCGAGGCTTCCAAATGTACATGTCAATTTGTAATATTGTAATAATGACGATGTTCTTGATTTTAATAACGCTGATGATGATTGTGGTCATGAAGATTAATTTAGCAAAATTTTCTATTCTGAAACTGAAATTTCCAGAAGGGTGGCTATCATGATCCTTGTGCTTAAACAAGTTATAGTCCTTTAAGATGCAAGTTTTGTAGTTAGATTCTAATACGCTTCACTGACCTATGTTCTTTGCAGGTTCAAACGATGGGACTGATACTGGTGGTGGCGGCCAGACCCCTGCTCCACCTTGTGAGTTAATATAACAATGGAGATATTTGTTAAAATTCTCAGCTTCGCATATTGCATTTGTAGAATTCTGATTGGTTCATTCAGTACGAGTTATCAGCTCATATACCGTCGTATGTTTTAAATGGCTATTTTTCCAGCGTTTGGCGGTCGGAAGTAGCATCGACTTTCGGTCATTCAGATGTGAAAAATTTGATTGTGCCGTTAAATTTGGTAAGCGTGCCCAGCATTGACGAAACTTAAAGAATTTGAAAACACAATCATCCATTCGCACTTATTAGATACGAGATATCATCTAACATCCAAAGCATACTTATACAATGAGTATTTGATAAATTCACATCGATTTTGCATAGTGGATACGATGAGTGCATATGATGCGACCATGAAACTATTATGTGCTTTATTTCCGGCAGATTTAAACAAAGTCTGCGTTATATCTGGGGAGGCTAAGAGTTAGTTTTGGTTAAAGATAACATCACGAAACTGAGCAACTACTGTTTAAAGTATCGCAAGGGAGTAGCGGAGCTAGTTAGGTTGGTTAATGCTTGTTAATCAAGTTATGACTGATATTTTTTTAATACCCTTTTTCGCCAATGAAGCGAACTGCGATGACAGGTTGGCCTCATCTTGCGAACCGTATGTCGATGCTGGTTATTGCGACGCGTATCCTGCCAATATGGAGTACTGGTGCGCAAAATCGTGTTCTAAATGTGAGTATGTTTGCTAAATGTGTTATTCAAGAGCACACCTGTATGCATTTACAAGGAAAACAGGGCTTTCATTTTTTTTTAGCCTTTATGTACCTGAATTTTTATATTCTTTTGGATTCCAAGAAACCTATTCAAACCAATGTATTAACAGCAGTAGCTGCACAGTGAAGCTAGTGCCTCAAAACAACAACAACAAAACAAAAAAACAAAAAAAGGAAAGAAGAAAAAAAGAAACTAAGGAAACCTGATTAGGGCGAAGATGATCACTAACCAACTTGGCAATTAATGAATTAAATACAGTAGTACCCCCCATGATAAACAAGCGATGAGTATCGTTCTAAGAATGCCACAAAATCAGAGTTGTAAATGCAATTTATAAAGCATTTCATCATTATATTCTGCCCTCATTCTCATTCTTTTCCTCTCTTTCATTACAGGTCCGTAAAATGCATAGGCAGTGAAATCAGAAAGTTTTCCGATACTCCAAGCCTTCCTTTGTCATTGTGCCAAAAGTAACTTAGCAATGAACTAAGAAATAAAGGCTGAGATCGTAAACGATTTGGTAGTCCGCGGTTATCTCTGAACGGGGCTTGTCTTAGCGTTCTACATGTAAAGGTCACAGAAGAAAATCTTTCACTTTCACAATTACAGGAATATGAATGGAGATATTCATTGCCTGCTCTTTCTTAGTCAGCTACATCGTTTTCGCCAAAAACATCATTCGCACGCATTTATATGATATACAGGAAACTTCAAGCCACATGTCACATCCTTTTGACATTTGAGGCTTTGCCTACGTATAAGCCTTTTTGCTTTTTGTCAAGAAGGGAGAGTCACGCAAGGTAACAATCTCATTATCTCTCATGGGAGCTTTTGTTGCCTCTCAGTCGTCTTTACAGTGCTTTCACTTGCCTCTCGCTCTTGACTCTTTTCTTTTAAGTGTGATAAGCTTCTAATTTCTTCTAACAACATCACCCATCACCCCTCGGGGCCGTAGCCAGACTTCAGAACAAGACGAGGCAAGTTTCGGGTCTGGTATGCCTCCCCCAGAAAATTTTGAAATCTAGAGGCTCAGAAATGCTCTTTCAAGCATTTTCCGTGGCACTTTTCTTTAGAAAAGTCAATCTTGGGCAAGTGTGGAAGTTTACTTTTTTTTTGCCAAGCGATACTGGTGCAAAAAAAAAAAAAAAAGGAAAAGGCCAAAATCAAGAAGAGGTAATTGCTTCGTCTTACCTCATGCTAGCTACGGCCCTGCCCCTGAATCACAAATCAAGGTCATGAGAATACAGGATCCGGAATGATAACGACTAAGTAAAGAAGTTCTTAATTGTTAAAAAATTTCTCCTTGTCAGCACCTTAGGAAATGTATGGAGAACAGTAAATGAAGAATGCCCATTGATGTTTGGTGTAAACGTTTAAAAGCCCAGTATCCCTCAGAGTTTCTGGTTTTCGTTTTTCTATGTTTCTTTTTTTCAAAAGGAATGAATGGAAAAAGGTCTGAACTTCAGGGGATTTCAGGCGCAGACACGTCTTATCTGTACAAAAACAAACAACAAAAATTCGTGCTCATGGTTGTTTCTTTTTAATGCATGAACAGCTGAAAAAAGGAGGAAAGAGGTTTAATTGTTGCTGTTCGCCGTTTGCCACAGGCGTCACTCTAAAGCTCCTTATCTTTATTCAGATAGTTACTCACCGTCATTGAGTTCGCAATCCAAGACAATAGCGCTTTATTCATTTCTATAGAAAGATGACATGAAGTTTAAACAAGACTTGGAACATGAGACTCCCGAGGAACACTCCAGAGCAAAAAAAAAACAAAAAACATTTAAACAGGTGTATCACCAACCCGCCCTTAACTTAGTATTTTTTTACAACATTGTACTACTTCCTTGAGTAGCGTTAACGCATATCAGGGAACACCTTCCCTAAAACAAGACTGAAGGTGATGGCTTTGTATTGTCTTTGTTGAGTGGGCGATAAACGAATGTCTCTATTGCACCGGTCATTATTTATAGCCGGGAGGAGGGTGGAGGCGTTTAAAGGATTTTGGTTGTGTCACGATAAAATTAACCCCCTAAAATAATCTTCCTTGGCGTAAGTCGTACGGGCGAATTCACGATGATTTTTAGCTGCCAATAAAACTAAGGAAAGCCCGTCGAAGGCCAACCTAAGTGAAAACGTAAAAAAAAGACTGATAAAATGTCTCGAGAGAGTGAGAAAATGTAAATGACGAAGTCACGGCTGGTTTTAGTTTTTCAAATGATCGATCATCGGCCAATTTTGCGCACATTTCAGGTAACATATCCCGGTGCGTAGGATGCGCACTGAATGTAGTCTTCCATATCTCAAACTACTTACACTCTCTACTGAAAATCGTTATAAACATACACGTACTTAAAAAATAAATCGTGGCAGAAATTGATTAGTTTGAGCTACATGTTTACATCAACACGCAGCAAAGGCAACAATGCGGCAAGTGTGGTGTGATCGTCTGGGTGTGTTTAGTCCTGAGAAGGACTGCTGTCGATGGTGGTGACTGACGTTTCGACAACCTATGCGGAAGTCATCATCAGAGTCACTTAACTCTGATGATGACTTCCGCACCGATTGTCGACACGTTAGTCACCACCACCGACTGCAGTCCTTCTCAGGACTACACTCACCCGGATGATCACACTACACTTGCACATGTTACCCCCGGGTTCAAACCATTTACTGCAAAAGCAACGATGGAACGCTGCTTAATTTTGGTTTCGTGTAGAAAACTAGCATACAATCTCGTGCTCAAAACTAGAGCAAAAATTTTCTTTAAACAATGAAAACAGCTGAAAAGAGATGGCAGGAAAATGAATTTTTGCAATTGCCCTTTTCCTTACGCCGCAAACGTAAATAAGATAAATGGTCTCTATTATTATATCAAGTAACTTTCTTTCAAATATTCATGCGGAGTAAACACCGTTATTAGTTAAGCTGCAGGAACATTTTGCAAAGCAAGGAACTGAGTACATATTCATAAACAATAGTGTTGCGTTTATTTCAATAGTAAGCTAAAGAAAGGTTTGAAGAAGACCTGGAAAACGAGAACCCCAGGAGAGCCCCAAACAAAAACATTCATTTAAACAGTTGTATTAGCAGTTCTTCTGAACCTTAGTTCTTTGATTAGCTGACACAACAGACTATGAAATCTGTTTTTATAAGTCGTATAAAGTAAAAGATTCTTTGTTGAAAATTCAAAACATTTTTCAGATAGTGCCTGTTTCTGTTGTCTCGTTGGTGAGACATCTGCCTTCGATATAGATACATAAACCACATTGCAAGAGGCTCATTTCTGTTGGAAACATCTCAAAGAGTGTTCACGACAATGTTGGTTTTAGCATTACTGCTATCTTTTCTCGTTTATTTTGTAACTTGCGAAGATGAACAAACTATTGCCTTGGTATGTATGTATAAAGATTCATTTTGTTGGTAGGAATTGACTCATTTGTCGATCGCGAAAAAAGAAACCTAAAGTAATCCTCGATAACTCAGCGTAAAATGTTTGAATATAGGCTTACAAGTACGTACCACGTCATGTCATGTCATTTTACAGCTTATTTCGAAGTTTAAACGGCTTATTACCATGCAATCGCGATCTAAAGATTTAAGGGGCAAATATCCCTCAAAATGACTCTAACTTTTTCGTTGGGTATGAAAAGAAAATTTTTTTGCTCTAATGCTGTGCTTCAAATCAAGAGATTGGACTTCACCTGGGGTGGAACAGTCTCGTATATACTTTCATCCTAGAATCGTCTGGTATACTCCAGCTCAAACACAAGGAGAGAAGATCACTGAAAGATATCTGCTAATAACCCCTCGTGGTTCGCAGAGCTGAACTGGGTTCCAGGTTCACGGCTGGGGCGAGGAGGACTATAAGTTATATCCTTCCTCGCATCACATAGGTGCATCATGGTTATTATTTGCGAGCTGGCAATGCTCGAGTAGATCGGATTAGGGGGACCAAAGACAGACTCAATAATTTTGTTACTGTTCGTTATCAATAAGACGTATTTTTAATGTAGTATCTATGTAATACTGACCCATACTGTAATTCAGCCTTTGCTGCGAGAGTATGCAATTAAACGATCATCATCATCATCATCATCATCATTTCAAAACCTACTTTACGTTGATGTTTTAATGAAAGGGGCCTTTTGAACAGCTGAAGCTCCTCGGATGCTGGATTTTTACTTACTTCTTGTTTCAATGGCGTGCAAGAAATTTGATTGTACAGTATTGACACTCATGAGTCGACCGTGATCAAACAATCGCTAACGGTTCCAGTATTGAATTGCACACCTTACTAACTACAAAATCTCCCTATGAACACAAATTAAAATTCATATTTTGCAATTAAATTTATCATTTTTGTTAAGTGTCTAAATATTTCTGATTTTTTTTGGTTAACATTGTATTTGTATGATACTTCGTCTAAGATGGGGAGAAATTGGATAGGCATTCAATTACTTCACAAGAAATAAATCTTGCATTTGTTACATAACGTCTGCATATTTCCCTTATTGTTGCTCTCAGTCGAAAAGCAAACATTTTCCACATTCAAGGGTAAGAATTACATTTATACAATGTAATTGCTTTCAATAAATTTCATATCTTAGAAATTTCTTGGCCATTATGGATACATCTCATCCGCACGAAGTGGTAACCACGATGTGGCGACCGCAATCCGAGGGTTTCAGAAGTTCTATGGTCTCCCAGCGAGTGGCAAGCTCGATGAAGCAACAATTAGCCTCATGAAGAAGCCTCGATGTGGTATGGCGGACCCTGTTGAAGACGGCAAACGCGTGCGAAGGTACACTATTAATGGAGAGTGGAAAAAGAAGCATTTGACGTATTTTGTGCAGCACGGCTACGATCTGCCCAATGTAAGTCATAACCGCCTACATCCTAAAATCAGTATACATATTCTCCAAACTATTTTAGACGCATTTTCTATGGTTACTAACAAGGAGAATTTGTTGAACAATCAAAAGCTTCTCAGGTTGACGGTAATTTCTGTTATTTTCATGAACTTCATGTTTGATTCAGGGGAAAATGTGTAAGAGAAATGAGATTTTAGTTGTTAATGAAGTGATATATACAATAACGATCACGATGAGGTAACAGTACTTTTGTCTACTTAGCCGAATGAACGAAAAAATATAAAATTACGAGCACATTATCAACCAAACGAGAAAAATAATAACTGATGAAACCCAGCTTTAATTACTCTAATTTATTACCATAAAATGATGTATGTACATACCATGTTTTGCCATAGTCTGTTTAAAACGGTTTTGTAATGCTAGATAAAGAAGTGTAATTTCAGACAACTAACTTTACCTACGAAACTCGTGCATTCTTTGTATGTATGAATAAGTTTGTGCTTAATGTATGACAATCTTCCCATCTCTCCTAGGATCAACAAACGGTCATCTTTGGTCGAGCATTTCAGTTCTGGGCTGTTGTTTCCGGGTTGTCATTTAGCGAGGTTAACGATGCTAGGAACGCTGACATAAAGATAAGGTGCATTGATGTACACTTTTATCGTTAAGTAGGAGTCATGATCGAGACAAACAGACCACAGCTAAATTGTATGCCTTAGGTTAAGTTTAGAAATTTGGTTTTATCAACTAAGTTGAAATTGTAAATTGGCCTCCGTAAACAGTTAAAAGCTGACGTTTCGAGCGTTAGCTCGTCGTCAGAGCGAAAGCTCATTTTATGTTAGCTAAGTATGTTTCATTCATACAATTACTATGTAGCAGACACACTACAAGCGCACATGAGAAAACAGACTCTCGCATAAAAATAAATGCTAAGACATCGAAAAAGGTGAAAAGCAGTGATACTTACATAGGCATTCAATAGATAGACATTTAAGAATAAACACTAGCGAGAAAAACACACAACGTTTCGATGACTCCATGTCATCATTCTCAAGTGAGAAGAGAATAAAAATGAATAGTTAATTTATACCGTACGAAGGTGGCAAACGTAAAAAGTTTAAAATATTTAAAATATTTAAATAAATAATTGCGCGTGTTT